GTGTGTGTGTGTGTGTGTGTGTGTGTGTGTGTGTGTGTGTGTGTGTGTGTGTGTGTGCGCTTGTTGTGATACCATGATGGTGTCCAAAATCTCACATAGACACCAACAAATGGGGACTTTCTGTAAACATGGGGACAAAACTGTGGGCACAAATAATTTTTGTACGGATTAAGACTTTGTTTCAAGATTAGGAGTTATAATTAGGTTGTGGTTGGGTTTAAGTGGTTAAATCTCTGCTTGTGGGTTGATTGAAACAACAAGCCAAAGGCACTAGCCAACACACATCACCATCAGCTTTCCATTCCCATGCCCTTTACATTTTTCTAACTTAATGCAAAGTGTTTCAAATTCAGATTATTTAAACTTTTTTGTATTGTAGGGTAAAGTCTGAACATGGGTTGAATAAAAAAAAACATTAGATTTGGGGTTTGAGAATCCTTTGTGCCAACGGTGCATCCACGTGGGGATATAAGAACAAATGTGTGTGAGTGGGAGCAGTGGGGAATGGAGCTCTTAACAGAAGGAACTAATTGTTGATTGTTACTAATCCGTGTTGAGGATGTGTAGTGAGCCCCCTGAGGACGGGACTTAGCCCCAACACACCATTGTAGGGATCCACCCACATGAAAACATGCCACCTGAGAATAGTAAGACTTGTCGGATGATAAACGAGTACAGCATCATTTTGACTTTGTTTGATAACTGCATTAACTTGAAAGACTAAAATGAGGAAAAATGAACACGTTATCTAAATCATTTGTTTTTGATTAGTCAGAAAATCTTAAGTTTGACTTTTATGCAGGTTATGACATTCAGTGTTTGAATGTGCTGCAGTGTGACAGGAAAATGATGTACAGCAATGATCGCTTCCTGTTGAGCTTATGTGGTACCCAGCACAGATGGCACGCTGGTTTTGAGGCTTAAATGCCACTCACTCTCTTCTCTGGGACTTTTGTTTTAGGCATTAGGATTTGGGCTCAGACTAAGTTGCATGCTCTTGGTCTTAAAGAGATAGTATGAGTTGTATGTATGTGGGGGTCTGCACAGAGTGAAAACCTGATGTTTGAAGTTATTGAGTGTAAAAAAATGAAAAAAGTTATAGTGATTTAAGCTGATATTACAACACATTCTCACTCCCGAGTCGTCACATATTGACGTTTTTTCAAAGGTCCCTTTGCGTCCAATTTTGACGCATCAGGTACCCCCCTCGCGTCAGTCCTTGCCGCTCGCGGCTTTTCCGGGTTGCGCCACCAGGGGTCTTTGGGTCGGGGGTCTGAGGTTAACATTAGGGATCAGGATAAATGGTTAAGTTTAGGGACTGGGGTCAGGGATAGGATGTCTACAGTGAACATTAGGTAATTTTAGGCTTTGCAACACGTACTTGCCATGAATTTCCTACATTTTCTAAAAATGGTTAATTTTACGTATCAGGGTTAATGGTTAATTTTAGGTACTAGGGTCTGGGACAGGATGTCTAAAGTGAATAAACGTAATTTCACGCTTTGGAACGGTAGTATTTGTGCATTTTCTACACTTTCAGAAATTACGACAACAGATTCCGCCCCATCCCGTCAAAATATGACGCAAGGGGGGTACCTGATGCGTCAAAATTGGACGCAAAGGGACCTTTGAAAAACGTCAATATGTGACGACTCGGGAGTGAGAATGGGTTGGATATTATTGTACTGGTTTTTACGCCACATTGCCACCATCATTTACCATCAAGCTAACGACTAAAACATGTAAACAGTTGTCCTTTAAAGACTTTAAGACACTTGCAGGAAACTACAAAAATAAAAGCACTATGTGAAAATGAATGAAAAGGAATTGTGAATAACATTCAAAATGTTTCATTATTAATGGCTTTACACTCTGCATCAAACTAACATTTGTAGCGTATATAACCATAAACATTAACTTATAAAAATAACTGTCTAATGCATTAAGTAAAACAACAT